TTCGCATATTGATCTACACTATATGTTTTATGTCTGGTGTCTTGAATATATTATATTGTCGTCTTCTCTCCTATATTAACTACTTTCGTACTTATCATATCATATCATAATATACCATATCATACATGCATAATGTATTATATTGATACTTAGAACAATAAGTCATTTTCTCATGCCCACTTATCATATACATACTTATAACTTATACATGATAAGTGATATAATTATATATAATTATTATTATTATTATTTTGGTTCGTGTACGCAGATATTGGTTTTGCGAACGTTATATTATTATCGTGAAATGGCATACGGGAGTCACCCCTCTCCAGCCGATCACAACATGAATCGGAAACTGTCACTGTTGTTTATATATATATACTCGTATATATATATTATACATCATCGGGCGTACAGTGTGCGTTACACTATCGCGTGTTGGTCGGGGGGTAGTGGCAGGGCTGGCGAGTGGGCACGTCGGCTCACTATATTAGCTGCGCGCGCCGATAAAATATAATATATATAAAATCGAACGCTCGAAAACGCGTGTAAGTATTATAATATATGTGTATTGTGTATATAAAGTGCGTGCTCGAGGTGGTGCTCTTTCGATCGTGAGTTTTCTTTTTCAGCTGTCCGTCACATATTACGAGTGTGTATACTGTGTATGTTCATATGTATTCTACAACCTCCCCGCCGCCTTCCATTTGTATATTCGAGGTATATAGTATATATAATACAGGGTGATTCACCAAAAATGTTCGTCCATTTATTTTCCTCAATATTATTTATTTAAAATCTACTTTTGAAATGTTTAGTTTAAATTATTAAGATTCTTTTGTGCTACTTAAGGAATGTTCTATAAAAACTTCTATTATTTAAATACTAATGTACCTAGTTCAAAATTCGAACAAGTAAATTTTAAATTATTAAAATGTTTATTCTAAGGACAATAGTCTTTACGAAAATATGAAATGAATTTAATATTGAGTCTATCATTTATCATAGTTGGATCATTTTCAGATTACCATTACAACCATGTCTTTTAAACCTATGATCATGGAGTTATAATCCTTAGAACTTATACAAAGTGAATTAAACAATTTAGTATTAGAAAATTTTTCCAATACATAACTTATAATAGAAAAAAAGGGTGATTTAAAAAAAAACAAAACTTCATATTATCTCCATGAAACACTTAAATGAAGTCTCAAAAACTAAAAAATATGATCTTCAATTATATTTCAGAATTATAAAAATTATATTTTAAATAACTGCTGCAAGTTTTTTAAGAAAGGAAGGGTGAGCATGCATGATGAATCACCCTATATATATTTTAGTATAGGTACTGTTTTGTCGTTGCGATTGTCGCGCTGCAAACGACGATAGAATACGTGTTTTCTACGCCTTCATCCACTCCTGAACCACTGGGTAGTTGTTAAGGGGTGTCGGTCAATATTATGAGAAGGGTTGGCGTGGTTTTATACCATTTACTCTGGCTTGCGAGTACCGTCATCGTCTGGTCGACCACTTTTGGTTTTTCATTATATACTCCAGTATTCCCAAATTGGTGAAGGCCACGTTCTTCAACTTTTTATGTATGTACATATAGGATAACTCGGTGGCTATATCAAAATTTTAACTTCGGGTCATCGAAATTAATTTAACAAAAAACCAAAGTCGTCAATGTTTTGTATATCAATGAAAAAGTACATTAGTAATATTTATAGTATTTCTAATATCTTTATGTATCTTGGTTAGCGTAATTTTATAGTGGCTGAACTGTCTAGTAACTCCCTGGATGATTCATCAATTTTTCCCTTTTTTTGTTGTATTATCCTCTAGTGTAAAATGTGGTTGTTCGCCTTTATGTTTATTAGTGTAAGCAATAAGTATATTATAAACGATAACGTTTTTATTGCTTTTGAAAATAATCACAACCCCGTTGGAGGTATTGTTTTAAAGGTAAAAAAAAATATGCTCTGAAAATTGTACAGATATTATTTTATCAAATATTTTTTACCTTTAAAAATGAAACAGTATGCTTGATAGCGTCGTTGAGGTTGCTGGCATGAAGCGAAGACGGTTAGGTTAGGTTAAGTTAGGTGGGTCGCAAATGGAGCGATAAATATTTTACTCAATGCATTCACATAATTTAGCGATCGGTTTGATAATTTTATCATATTTTATTCATTCGCACAAGGACGTCGTACTTAACAATATATATAAAATATTTTAATACACCTAATCGTAGTACGTATTTATTTATGGTATCTACCAGTCTGTGTATGTTCACATTCTGAAATTTTTTCACTCATATAATAACATATTTGTTTCGGGTTTATCCGAATAAAGTACGATTTGGTGATAGTAGTGTAACATTAAGTGAGTAGACTTGTACAAAAATACATTTTTTGTACAATTTGATAATTTAAAAATGAAACGTAGTAAAATTAACTCAAGTCGAGTAACTCTGTATATTAGTAATTTAGACAATAAAATCTTCAATTTTATACGTCAAAAACAATCGTTTGTAGTTTTGATGTTCACACTGCTCATCAATGCCGATCAGAATAATGCTCTGGTCGTCTCTTCAACTACCATATCAAACTCCTAAACATTATAAGGATTGAACTCCAAACAACCAAAACAATCAGTAGGTGAAATGGGTGAAGAGGTTATTTTTGATAGCAAGTTGTAGTGGTAATGTGTTCCATTTGCTGCAGACCTCATTAATTTAACACGCGTCGAATTCTACCTTCTATTTCTATATAATTTATACGCTATAAGATCTAAGACGTGCATGTTTGTATTGCATGTACCCATATAATATATATATATAGGGATACGATATCAATTCCTCGACTTAAACTTCTCCCCTTCTCAACCATCTAACCATTGATACTGCAAAGTACAATCACACGTTATTAGGGACGTTCTTTTACTTTTGTGTATAGCTTCGGCCACGAAGAATAATATTTATATTCAAAAAATGTACTTACCTTTCAACTTTTGTTCTTTTCCCCCTCGAATGTTCGTTTCTTTTCCTGCTAATATTCGCATTCATAAAATAAATTCTTGTCCAATGTACGTACAGTATACATCGTACACTGTATATGAGATTAACATCTTTACACAGTGTGTACAATATATTATGCACTTATTCTTCAATCTTACGGACTACGGTAAAGTAAACCGTTGTAGTTTTACAGTATTTTTGAAAAACAATAAAGGTAGTCAATCACTGTAGAGTATATAAATAAAATATTATTCATACTATGTATCAAAAATCTTTTGTGTGATATATATATTTTGCATAGTGTAAATTAAAGTTAAGTAGTGGGATTTTTTTTTTATTTAATAACACTTCAAGACATTCCATTTTACTCATACTTATTATGATATACATTTAACTATTGAACAAGTTCTAATGAATATATTTTACACTTTTTAACGATATTTTGAGCATTAAAAAATATTCCTACTTTAGAATTAAAGTACCGTCAAAATAAATAAGTAATTTAAAAAAATAATGATGTAATTGATTAATGTTATATTAAAGCCTTTAATTATTTTAATGGAATGTGTTTCATATCAACTTAAAAAGGTTTTATTGTCATAAAAAGAACTTCAAGTTTTAAAAAAAACATAACTTAAGTAATCAAATAAATATCAAAATGTATTAAAAACTCAATTTAGATCCTTACTTGATTGCGTAAAAATATGAATATGTAAATTTTTCTCCAACTAACGAATTATACATTTTTATATTATACAATGGTATAGCAATATTCATGTGATATTATAAATTAAAATGTTTATCATTCCCTATTTAAGGCTACACAAATATTCACTTTAGTTAATGACCAAAATACTTTATGTCATTTATTTGAATTATACATATATTTTTCAAATGAAATTATTGTTTTTTATATATAATTTTTATTTACGGCATCATCTTGACGAATATTTATTATTTTTTAGACGAATTAATTAATTATAGTATAATAAAATAATTTAAAAATAAATCATTTATTATCTCAATTTTGATGCATAATATATTATGTAGGTTAATATAAAAATAAAAATGATTTTGATTAAACAAATGTTGTTTGTAAAAATAAAACAATTATTAACATCATTACCAATAACACCATACATAGTAAATAGTAAGCACGGTAGTATGTATATAAATTAACTTGGAATTTCACATAAATATCGTAGAAAAAGATTAAACATTATATATATTTATATTCTACAAATAAGTATTGTTGAGACAGACTTTTGGGGTAAATAATATTCCTAAAATCAATAGAAACATGCAATTCATTTTTAAGTAATAGTTACTGTTTTAAATATACAACAAAATACCGCATATTATCAAATTTATTGTAAAAATTCATGAACATCCATTAAAATTATTTAGTCATAAGATGACAGCAGCAGACTTATACAAAACATGACCTATACATCTGTGTGGGCGTGAGCTTGTGTGTACACGATAGACATATTGTGTGATGTGTATAAAAATAATACAATTTATTGTGTTAAACCGTGGTATTTACCCTCTGTCTCTATAATACACAAAAACTATTATAACACACACACACATATATACTGTAGGTATGGTATGTTCGTATTCAAAACTTACATTTATATATGTACGACTTAAGTATTGGGTGGCTTAATTATAAACATTGAACAACACTGCGATTATTAGAAAACATTATTTCAAACTTGCTTGAAAGCAAATCCACATCAATCATTGAAATTATTGGGGTCAAGTGGTTTTATTACCATGTACATAGAACAGGAAGCTTTCAATTAAGGGGTACAGTGGGCAAATAGTATAAGTAGAGCTCGTTTGATAAAAGCATAATAATAGTAAAAGAGAAATTTTTCACCCCAATTAAATTTTACCGGAAACTCTGTAGATCACGTAAAAACCACTTGTACTGCCGATAGATGTTTAACTGTTATATTATCATATTTTGTTGCAGAAATGGGCTGTTTCGGTAGCAAAGACAAGTTGTCTAAAGAAGACATGGATTTCTTAAAATCACACACTAGATACGACGAAGCGACCATCAAAGAATGGTATAAAGGTTTCAAAGTGAGTATTGCTAGATTAAAAATATCAACTTTATTATTATACACAGTTATATAACTTCTATAAATACGCATCTTTCATTTGTATATAATTATTATTTTACTGCTGAATTATAAAGTACTATCGGCCATACGGTATATTATGTCAAATACATATCTAATACCTACAATGAATAGTTTATACGGAAATTTAAAGTTACCTACCTGAAGTGTATACACAAATAAAGTTATTGTTACCTTTAATATTATGTGAAATTTTTAGATGAACTATTCTACTACGTTTTATTATTCATCGATTGTTTTTAATTTTCGACTGATTGCCGTCATTTTTAGCCCTTGTGGTGGTTTGGTTGATTAGCATCTGACAATAACTCATGTGGACTAGATAAGTCTGAATTATATACATTTATTCATAATTCAATGTAATAACATACGTATCTTTCAATACTTTAAAATGTTCATGCTTATTCGTAGAACTCTGTTATTGTAGAGATTGTCTGATCGATAATAGTTATTTCACGTAAACTGTTTTTTCCTTTTCCACAAATAATCATGGAAATTTGAAACGATATAAAAAGAATAAAGACGATTATAATTTAAATTGAATGTTGAACTGTTAAATAAGTATAAATTTCAATTATATTTCTTGTATATTTGTTGAATGTTGAATTTCATTTTTAAGTTGTAAAGTCCAAAATGTGTTTTAATAACTTCGCTTTGTTAAACATCAAAGTTTTACCGTATTTATTCTTGTCAATAATAGGTACGTTAATTTTTTTGATTTCGATTTTTAGATAGTGTACTAAACAATTTTAAATTTATCGTGCTTATGCTTAATAAATTCTTAGAATTGTTAGAAGGCAAATAAAAACCCTAATCCAAGATGGTTATACATAAATTTATTAAATTTAATGGAAGAAAACTATTTTATGGCCGACAATTTCTTATAAAATAAACCATTAATGAATAAATACAATATACATGATATAATAGTATATTAGTATGTAAAGTAATATAATAATAATAGTATAATAAAGTTTGGAGTTGATAAAATGTTGACTGAATAGGGTTAAAGTGTTAGTTTTCATCGTGTTTCTATAATCCTATTAACTTTAATCCTGGATTATAAAACTGTAAGCTTATCCGTAATTAAATGTTATCAGTTTAACTCTCATTTTTTTTTTAATTTTATCATACCCCTATTTACAAAACTTGTAATCTCAATTTTTAAAAGGTAAACTCGAAAACTTGATGAATAACGTCTACAATTTCAAACTTAAATATTAATTACATATTCATATGTTAGTAAAATAATATAATTAATCATTTGCTTATTTTATCAATGATTTATCTTAAAACAAATGATTTAAATAATATTTTTACTTTAAAATATGGCATAATTAATTTTGTACTTCCAAATAATAAACTGTTTAAGTACTTTATTTATCCTATAATAAGAAGTAATAGAGACTTGAATTAAAATGATATCAATAATTCGTTTTAATAAGATAAAGTTTTATAAGTTTCTTATTGCATATTTAAAGATTTTTTCATGTTCATTAAAAAATAAACTTTCTCGTGTACATTGTATTTTATTTAAAATTTTAGTTTTTATTAAGAAATTTTATAATTTCAAACTTTGAAACAACTTATAACTTATACCATACACATGATTTATGTTTATTTAGAATATAAATTTAAAATTTGATGTTTTACTTCCTTAAAACGTGTTATTTTATGGTTAAAATATGTATAAAAAAGAAAAGATTTGTTACCTTTTTTTATTGTATGTATTTTTTTTTTAAATTCAAAAACAACGAAAAGTCAATACATTTTTAATTTAATTCAAGCACTTACTACTGTACATAACCATACTTAAATGTAATATGTTTTCTTTAATAACTTTAGAAGTAGGTCAGTAGCTTAGATACATTACACATTTATATTAAAATCTAATTTATAATATTCTTTTGATAAATTTTTATTTTTATGGGAATTTAATAATGTATTTATATTACTTTACTATAAATAAATCACTTACATAATTTTATAATATGTTAAGTTTAAAAAAAATATGCATTCATTAATTTTTATTTTGAAGCATTTCTCAAATGTTGGTGTATAATGATAACTGATAATAATAGGTAGTAGGTAGAATTATTGCAATCCCGTTTAGCACACATTCAAACAATATTCAACAAATAAATTATTTTTAAGCTTTGTTTTCACTACACCGAGTTGAGTCGTTTTTCGTTTATTTTGAATGAATATTGAATACTGTATTGGTCAACAAAATGCTGGTAATACGTTACCAACCAATTTACAACACTGTTTAAATAGTAGAAATCTGGCTATAGAATTACACATTTTTGCAATAAAAAAATAATCGAGTATAAAATATTTATATGAATGTAATATTATATATATATATTGTTAATATGGGTTGTAAACTTGTAACTTATAGCTGTATCTTAAGAACATTTATGCCTCTAGATTGGTATAATACTTAAACTACCCCTCCAAATTATTTAACTTTGAAACTTTAACACTGATCAGTGGTCGCTTTTACACAATCGACCGACTTAAAGGACCAATAAATCGGATTTAAACGTATGCCATACATAATGCAGATAAACCTTTATATTAATCATTTTGAAACATATTTCTGGTCTAAGCGGCTTAAAACGTGAACAATATATTACAATAAATTGTCCTCAGTTTACAATTCGTGGTTATTTCAATCGCGTAATTAAATATTAATTCAATTTCTGTTAATTACCTATACATAATTTTATTGAAATTATTCTTATTTATTATTATTTATCTATTTTGATTTATATACAGACCTTTTTATTTATGAAATGTTTCAATAATAAAATAATTTATCGAGTAAGAATAAAAATCATTTTAGTAAATAATATTTACGTATATGTAGTTATTTCTACCTTATCTAATTATATATTCTTATACGGACTAACAAAATTATGTTAATATATTATTTTAATTTAAAATATTAAGTATCAATTAGATATGCATTCAAGTATGATAATTAATAATAATACATAACTGATACCTATATTATAATCTTTATAATTATTCATTCAACATCTATTATATTTTTTTTTTTTTTTTATATAATAATCGCCTTTAAGAGAATACAATTAGCGTTAATAAAACAATTTTGCGCATAATATAATACATTAATTTATTGTACTCATAATAATATCAGTCATTCTAAAAATATTATGTTTTTTTAGTACATGTTAAAAAGTTTTCTCTATTAGCTATGAGATATCCTTATTTCGTGTCATATTTTTTTTTTATTACCGTCGAATTAAGAAACTTAGCAAGGTATTGTAAATTAAATATGAACCATAAGAAATTTTTATTGTTTTATCTCTCTTTAACTATTTATAGTTATTATTTTTACTTTATACTTATGTATTTCAAGGTTTAAAACATTATAGGAAAACTATTGTTATTATATGTACAGTTAAACCTGTCCTATGCGGAATTGTATGGGACTGATAAAAATGTTCGTTTTAGTAGGTTTCCATGTAACTGAATAAAAAGGAAAAATTCCATACAATAAAGTTACAATATTCTGCATGATTAAGATTTAAGGTTATAACATTTTCCGGCCAATAATAAAGATTAAAATGTTGAAAATTAATAAATATCATAGGCTACAATTAATTTTAATTTTTAGTAAATAATTACATGATATGTATTAATTAGATATTTTAAAATAATGATAAATTTCTATTCCAACATTTGAAAAACATAATATTTAGTAGGTATTAATTAAACAATAATATGATAAAATAAAGTAAACAGATTAAAATACAATTAAAAATTTCAAAATTTGTGTAAAGTTTTGTCCAGTTTTTTCTTTAACAATTAACAACTTTCTTCTATAACTTTTATTTTTTTATTTAAACATAAACAAATCTTTGAAGACATTGTGAGAACAAGTAAGACGAAACGAAAAACAGGAAAACTACGACTATGCGGTATGACAATAATGAGCATTGAAGATATAGATTCAAGATAAAATATAATTTTCTACCGACACATTAATATTACTGACTTTAATAATTGTTTAATAACAAAACAAATGTGGGTATTGAAAATATTTTTTTTTTCATTTTATAATATGTTTTTCCGTTTTTTTAAAAGTATATAATTTACGAACCAAAAAAAGCTTTTCGTTTTATGTTAGACAGATTCCGTTTTATCAAGATTTTAATCTCTGTTGAATTATAGAAATCTGCCAAGGACCATAATAAATTTCCGCATAGAGCAGGATTCCGTGTTAACAAGAGTCCGTGTAAGACAGATTTTTTTGTATAAAGTTTATAATTTAATGATGAATAATACAAAATAAAAATATAATTTTACTTTAGACAGATTTTTATGTTTTCAATTATGTATTATTTATTATTAAGTTAAGTTGTATCTAAAATAACATTACTGAGTTTTTTCACTATGAGAACAACGATTACAATACAAATTTTATTACACCTAAATCTTTAAATTTATTAACTAGCTCGATATTATATGCAAAAATTGTGTATTGAAAATTAATAGGATTCTCGTTACACCATAAAAGTAGGTTTTTAATATCTAATGTGTTGTAATATATTATGTTATAATATAATGTATTTATGAAATTTTTTATTCAATATGATATAAATAATTATGATATATCTTAAGATAAAAAAAAAGAAATATTTAAAAAAAATCCTGACTTGTATTATTAACAACTCTGAGTAAAAAGTATAAAGATTTTAAAAACTATCCTCGAGGGACAAACACCAGATGTCATTTTAATCTCAAAAGAACCATCATTTTTGTATTTGACAAATCGTTTACACTCTATGTGAAATAACCTTTAATCCGCTCTACAAATGATCCAACAACCAAACACATAATAAGTCAACTTGATATTAAAGTATTTCATAATTGACAACAAAAAAACCATTCAAATAATTCTTAACATTTCAAATTTTATACTTAGAAATTAAAATTTACTTTTTAAAAAACTTTTATTATACTTAAGTCACCCTTTAAGCGTTAAGGAATGTACCTTTATAATTGATAAAAAAAACTTCTACATAATGAGTAAACCTTAAAAAAGTAAACCTTCGTGCGAAATCTAATGAAATGTTTTTACCTCTTAAGTTTCTTTAGAACAATTTGTTTTTACAACTTCAATGTTATATAATTATAATTGAATTCAAATTAAACATAGGAAATTATACGAAATATATATAATTTTTATATTGTATGATACGAAAAAATTTAAATTATGTCGAATTTAAAATTTTAGTTCAAAAAAAAAAAAAATAATAATAATATTAACGTAAATACAATTTTCAAAATATTCATGTTCTATTTAATAGGATTTCCGATTTACAAATAATCGTAACTAACATTTAGAGCTTTAAAATACCTACTAATGTAAAAACATTAAAAAGTTTTTTATAACTTAAACAATTTTCAAAAAAAAATCTGGTTCATGCGTTTGATTACCGCCAAATTTTAAAACAATTTTATTAGCGATTTTGAATTTTAGCAGATGTGATATATTAATGCACTGATAATTATTTTTACTCTTCTTTTATGCGTATTCTATTCTCGTCTATATAGCGAGCGATGAATGATATGTATATAAAACAAGATGTTTTATGTTATCGTTATATTACAATGTATATAAAAAAAAAACTTATCATACGAATAATTTACCTTGTCGTTGGTTCTAACTTCACCCTCAAAAATGTACGGCAATGGAGTTCGGTCTACCGGTAAGAAATGCAAAACGGGTGGAGGTATTAACCTTTTCTGAATTTTGTTTCGTAAGATTAATGACATTAACCTGGAGAATGATTAATTGAGTTCTCCGTGTGGGGTAAGAAGTCTGCAGTATATACCCGTACATCTCTTGCTCTCTTTTTATATTCTCTTTCTCCGCAGTCCTTAAGACAACACTGCTGTCGTTATGGTTTTGGCATACTCGTCCAATTGCGTAGTCAGTTTAGTCCCAAAGGATCTGGCAAACTTCTATTTATTTACCTTTACTACTCTCCATATTCATTTCGACTGTTTCTATCATGTATTTATAATATAGACATTATATTATATAATTATATTATACTATAGTCCTTATGTACCCGAAAAACGTTCATTATTATACAACTAGAATTTTCGTCGTAAAACAATTTAGTGCTCGTGCTTTTATCACTCGTTCAATCTTTAATACAAAATGTGTGTGTACTGTATTGTTATATATTTATGGAAAGTTACGTTTAACACTCGTCTGACTTCTATTCGTAGAAAAATATGTTTATATTATATATATATATTGTAATTTGTATTTTATTTATTCGATAAATCAAAAATGATTAATGGTTTCGTCAATAAATATATGATTGAAACAAATACGATCAATATAAAGTATTAGAATTTAATTTCTTTTAAAAATTTTACTAAAAAAATATCTTTGAAAAAAGTTAATAGTATTAATATCTAAAAAAAAATTACTGTTCGCTTGATATAAACCATTCCATAAACCTAATTATTAATTAATTAATAATTATTAATTACTTGGATAAAAATATATCTGCCGTATGAACATTATTAAGAATATTTTTCAAAAATATTCAAAATATTAACGAATATTTTTTTGTGATTCAATTAATCTGATATTTAAATTTGTATACTTTAATTACACAATATATATAATATAATATATAAATACTTAACCTCATTTAAACATTTTAAAATATTTATATATAAATATATATATACTTGATAATAGGTTCAAGAATTTCAGATTCTTACCAGGGTTAGCTATTTTATTATTTATTTATTTGATAAAATCTTATTTTAAATTCTTAAAAACGTTCTAAAATATTATTTTTGGAAAAAAATTAAAAATGCAAAAAAAATATATTGATTATTAGATGGTTAAACGAATAAAAAAGTATTTTTAAAGTATTTGAAAACCAAAAATATTTCAATACAGTATTCAAATACTTATTAGATGTATTTCAAAAATTATTTAAATTGTTTTGAAATAGCTAATAATTTGTTATTAGGTATGGCACAAAATCCATGTTATGAACCATTAGTTTTAGACTATATTTTATATTTTAAAATATGAGCTGAGGTTCCACAACACTTCACATAATATTCAACCCTTTTTGAATCAAGCAAAATATAACAATGACCTTTTCAACGTGTATAATTTATATATAAACCCCGAAGGAGTGATTATAATTTAATATTACTGTATTTATCAGTTAAAAATTTACTAGTAAATCAAATCGGTTTATGTAAATTCTGTAGTGTTACTAAATATTAATTATAAAATCCTAAAATTACACTGTTCAGGTGGTATTATAATAATGATTCTATCTCATATAATATTCAAATAAATATAAGCTATTATGTGAAATTATTTTCATATTTTATAACTAAATTTTTAGCAAGATTGTCCAAATGGCCGTTTAACACCAGCCAAATTTGTAGACATGTACAAAATGTTCTTTCCAAGCGGTAATGCCGAAGAATTCTGCGATCATGTATTTCGAACATTTGATATGGATAAAAATGGTTACATAGACTTCAAAGTGAGTTACTCAATAATATTTAAAAAAATATTTAATGCCTATATAATGTTATTTTATATTAATACATCAAAATTCATTTAAAAAAGAACCATTTCCTGAATGATTTTATTGAATTTTCCCATGTGTATCGCCCAACCATTAAAGGTCATCATATGAACTTCACCCGAACCCTTCCAATCGTTCAATGAAATATCAACTTTTTATTATTCATGAGGTCACTCGAATCCACAAACCAACCTTACCCTCACGCACCAAACAGGCACCATTAAAAATCGTTCATTTATATATCGATTACAGGAGTTTCTATTAGCCATAGATGTCACATCGTCCGGTACACCGGAGGAAAAACTAAAATGGGCATTCAGAATGTATGACGTTGATGGCAACGGAGTCATTGATATTCAAGAGATGACAAAAATAGTTCAGGTATAAACGTCTATCGATACGTTACAAAACAAATGAATCAGTTTACCTAATATTTACTTACTGCAAAAACATTTATTTATATAACTCACACGTTTAAACATTATGCAACGACTTTTTTAAAAATATTTCGATTAAAATGTATTAAAAATCTATTTATAAAAATTAGTTATAACAAATCATTCAACCCAAAAAATGAAATATAAAATATTATTCCTATTTACAGCATGGTTAAACCTGGAAGTAAATAGTTATTGAGACTGACTTTTATGTTGTATATTTGTAGGCCATCTACGATATGTTGGGTGCATGTTCATCTAATCGTCCGGCTGACTCAGCAGAAGATCGTGCTAAAAATATATTCGCCAAAATGGATGAGAATAACGACGGACAACTGACCCAGGACGAATTCCTTAAAGGCTGTCTACAAGATGAAGAGCTCTCCAAGATGCTTGCACCATAACCACTGCCTCAGTTGGCGTGAAAGCCCAATATTATATATTTCGCCGCATTTTTTTGTATATCTTTTTCTCTTGCCCCGTAGGGTACGCCTTTGTTGGTGCCAAAAATAAAAAAACAAAACAAGTCAACCCGTTTTTTCTAAAAAAAATAATAATTGAATCCAAAAAAAAAAAAAAACAAAAAATTTAAAAAAAACGAATTGTTTTCTTATGGTTACATTTTCTCTGATAGGGTAATTTATCTATGATACTATGATTTTAAAGCGCAGGTTGCCAGGTAGTACACGTTTTACATCTCGTGGAGTGTCCACCCCCTTTCTTCTTGAGTCGATTTGCATTGCATGGTAGTATAAACACATCGGCAAACTCCAAGGCCTTTTTCAGAGTAACGATTTCCCGAAACTCAAGTTAGCTTCCACTTCACCTGGTGACTTATTTGTGTAAATAATTTTCTGCACATTCCCATTTATAATTGTTTCTTTCTTTTTTATTATTACTATAATTACTACAGAGACTCAATTGAACTCTGTTAACCTGCGTTTTTATTTTAAACAGGTTTCAATCAGTGCAAAGTTAAGCTCAAAAATGAAAAAAAATATATTACAAAAATCGATTACGTTCACCGGATTTGAAAACTTCGTAAAAATAAATTCAACCATTTGAATCATTTTTGGGGTCATTTTCATAATTTTACTCCAATAATAATGCTATTAAAGTAATTGGCTGTAAGAAAACACACGCACACACACACACATACAAATATATAAAACAAAAAGGAAAAAACTTGGCTTATGTTGGGGTTTCCAAATAATGTCGGGTTCAAAAATCGTGTCATCGAGTGGACCATTCGTGTATTAAAACTGTCGGGAACTTAATGTTCAAAAATCAAAAATCCTGCACAAATATAATAATCATGCGACGAAATCGTATTTTATTATTATTGATTACCTTTGGCTAGTTCATTAAGCCGCTTGTAATTTTAAGATATATTCTCTTGGACCAATATTATAATATTTATATTATCTAATCACATTAATTTATAACTTAATTTCTTATCTATTTTTTCGTCGATGGTGCACATATATTGTTGGATTCCATTAGCAATAAATCGCAACCAAAGTGTCTGTTACCAAATTATGATATACGTTTACTTTTTATATTTATAATTATTATTTAATTAAACATATTATTATTATTATTGTTATCATTTCTATACCTGTTACTTCATTTAAATCATGCATATGTAATATGTGATGTGTATGTTATTATAGTGTACGGCCAAATATTAAACCATAAATTTTCATGTTATATTCAATTTAATTACTTTTAAAATACGCAATTGTAAATGTGAAACGCTTTTTTTCACGAAAAAGGATATTCACTTAATATTTACGATAATGCTTGACTTGGTTAAACTTTTTGAGTGTATAAAACTTGAATAATTCGAGCATTATTATTTTTTATTTTTTTCCATCTCAACATATCTTATAAATAATATTACTCTTCTGTCAACGAAACATATTCATTGAAAAATTATATAGATGATTTGAGTACATGTAATATTTTTGTAGCCATTTCTTATATTTTATTCTATACATATATGTCACAACAATATATTTTATTCTTGTTCACTATGTACACGCGTACATTATTAATAATCTAGAAAAGTTTATACAAATTTTAAAAAACTTAGGGTTAATTATTAATCGAGAATTTTTCTATACACCAATTTGTATAATCTATTATTATTAATATTATTATTATTATTATTATTATTAATATTATTCTAATTATAGATGTTATAATATACATATAGTGTAAAAAATCTGTGTCAAGTGTTGTCCTTAATAGTAATTTTAAAATCCGATAAACTATATTTTCTGAATGTGTGTAATGTATATGAATGTATATTAAAATATAACATAATCCATATATTCATATTTATATACATACCTACATATAGAACTAACAAGTCATAGTTATACATTTATAATAGGTAACAATAATGTCCAACTATTACATCAAACAGACCAAATTATTTTCATTATCTTATTTTATATAATACGTACATTTGTTTGCACATATTGTAAAAAATATTTAATGTGACAACAATTTTTATTTTTATTTGTTATACATAGATTAAGTTTAAATTTAAATAGCTTAGACAATTAGTTCTTAAGGTTAGGAAATGTTACGTTTCTTTTCTGCTCTGAGCGCTGTGTATGGTTAACAGATGAATCAAAAACTAAAATTTATTTCATTCTGATGTCTCAAAATACGTGTTTTTCTTTACTTACCTTTAAGAAAACCATCCAATACGATTAACATATACCTATTCTTTATTATGTTGTTGATAACACTGTCGACAAACCTGAACTTTCTTATAAGTTATTGGTTACTTATGTAGTAATAAACTGAATTATAACTTAACAGATTATGAGAATGAAAGCTTAATGATACTCGACTATACATCTTATAATAAGATAAAAAAATGGGAAAACAAAACAGCAAGTTAAAGCCTGAGGTCTTGGAAGACCTAAGACAAAATACAGAGTTTTCTGGTAAAATCCAATTTTTTATAAATGCTTATCAAAGTGGTGGCCTCTGAATTTAATCGTTTACAGATGCGGAGATACAAGAATGGTATAAAGGTTTTTTAAAGGATTGTCCAGGTGGTCATTTAAGCGTTGAAGAGTTTAAGAAAATTTATGGAAATTTCTTTCCCTATGGTGACGCATCCAAAGTAAATTAGTTATAACTTATAAGAATAAAAAAAATCTCATTTAATTGTTTAAAATAGTTTGCAGAACATGTATTTAGAACATTTGATGCCAACAGTGATGGAACAATAGATTTCAGGGAATTCCTTTGTGCTCTGTCAGTCACATCGCGTGGAAAGTTGGAACAGAAATTGAAGTGGGCCTTCAGCATGTATGACCTAGATGGCAATGGGTTCATTTCAAGACAAGAGATGTTAGAAATTGTTACAGTAAGTTTTTGATATTTCAAATAGTAGAAAATAAATAATAATTATTAAAATATAAGAATTATATTTATTTATTATGTCGTTTATAATATACAGGCCATTTATAAGATGGTAGGCACTGTAATGAAGATGCCTGAGGATGAATCGACGCCAGAAAAGAGGACAGATAAGATATTTAGGCAGATGGACAAAAACAATGATGGCCGTCTATCATTGGAGGAGTTTATTGAAGGTGCCAAAAGTGATCCATCTATCGTTCGACTATTGCAGTGTAATCATGCCGTCCAGTAGAGCTTTACAATGAGCATTACACTGAATTTGTCAGCCTTTTAACTAAAGTCACATAATGTTTGGACTTCTCTTTTTTTTTTTTGTCTTTAACTTTTGTTAATTTAAATACCTAATGGATTTCATCTACCAAAAAGCTTCAATCAAACATCAATACGTGTGCTCTAATTTTTAATGCTTATAAAGTTTGACAAAGTATAATTTTAATTTTTTTCCCCAACTTATTAATTTTTAAAATCTGCAACTTGCATACTATTTCAATCAGTAATAAATAATTATACATCATAAATACATGTGGTGTTAAGAAAACACGTGTTGATGATTTATGATTTAACAAATTTATTGTTTATACTGTGATATATTCTTAAAAAATTTTCAATTTTGATCTTCTTTATCAATACAATGTATTATTATTAATGTATTCGTTCAGCAAGAATATTTTATTATCTTATTAAAAATTTTTTTTTCATAATATTAATGATATTTAATTGTAATTTGTGATTGTATTATTTAAATTTAGAGATGTGTGATGGTTTTAAAACTAAACCTCAAAACTTACATTTAATCTATATTGCTACATAGAAGCTTATATTTATATTCCTAATAATTTTTATTATTATTAATCAAATTATTTAACTATTTCTCCCATTGTATATAAAAAAAGAATACAAAAAAATTATAAAGTTGCACATCTCTTTATTTATTTATTTACAACCATCACTTTGCAACCACTGTGGTATTTTGATTTAATAATTTATAATTATTATTGTTATCTATTCCAGAAAATAACAAAATTCATAAAATCAACAAACATTTTTGTAGGGTTCCTAAATCTAGTCTTTGTTTACTGTTCTAATATTATCATAATAAATACTGATGAGTTGCCTATAACCTATTTGATAAAAAAAATTTTACCTTTTTCTTAAAAGTTGCCAAATTTATTTTCACTAAAAATAAAACATAATATATTAACTTATTGTTATTTAAGATTTAATAGTTTAACTTGTAATATTGTAAAAAAAAAAAAACCAGTAAGAGGATTGTGTTATTGTTTGAGTTGTTATTCGTTTCTAAAGTATATTTTTTTAACTTGGCTTTGTGACCGACTCCTAGAAATGTGCCGTTGTATATATACGTGCTCAAATCTATTTCCACATCCTCGGTGCTATTCATGTTTAATAGTAAACCTAAACGTAGCATTTATAAACCCTTCCATTATTTTGTTAATTCTAAAAATCAACCAGACACATACGTATGTTAGCATCATTTTAATTAATAATTACCTAATTTAAATATATTGTGTATATTTTTTTCCAAAATATTGGCTTATGGTTTTGGTCTATTTATACATATTATATACTAATCTTAATATGGTAACTTATATTTGTTACAATTTTATTCAACTGTATAATTGTGTATTAAATAATATATTAAATTAGCATGAATATTGAATACCTTTATATTTAAAAATGTATACCAAAAAAATTATTATTTTCTGCTTCCATAAATAAAATTAGTAAAATGAAAAAAAAATACAGAGATATTATATTATCTGACACAATATGTACATATACATATTTTCACCTAATATAATATTATGTCAAACATTAAAATTTTTCATATTTGCTCAAGTGTCAGTTATGTGTCAAAATTTCCTCTTTATTCCTCTCACTCTTCCACGTACATCTACTTGTTTTCTTGCCAAAAATTGTATATCACATTTTTCAAATTATTCATATAAATTTGGACAAATACCATTTATAGAAAGTTAGGAAAATTCTATAAACAGAATAAAATGTCTCTTAACTTTCTAGACATTCTGGTTGTATACATAAGCGCGCCATAGATTAGTTATTGTAGTACAAATCTTACTAATGATTGTTTTTGGGTTTTACCTATAATATATACATATATATATTCTTATATTATCTTCCATATATATATATATTATATTATATTATATTATATTATATTAATATCATATTATGTTATGTTATATTATTCACCATGTAAAAGAAAAAAACAATAAAAAAAAATGTTAAAATTATATTTCTTACTTATACATTTTGCATAATTAGTTTCAAATAAATCAAACTATATGTTTGTAAAATTAATCTACCCATTAAATTTTATTTTTTTGTTAAAAAATATAAATGAACTTATTTTATTATTATTACATGAAGATAATTACTATATGTATTATTAAATTTCTAAATACTACCATGCTAGTGTGGATCAGTGTCCCTTACAAATTTAAATATTTTTCAAGATACTTATAAGTATAATAAAATAACTTATAATAATAATTAATATTATGATACTATATATTACTTCTAATTTAAACATCTTGTATTTTACTGAGCATAACATTTTAATATTCAATGAGGTGTTTTAAAATGTATATAATATATTGTAACTTTAAAAATTAAATCTACGATGATTCGTAGGCATAATGAAACTTCTATATGAGGTTGTCTTGGGTAATAATACAAATTTGTATTAAAAGAAATTCGTTAAATTAATTTAGTTAAGGTTTACGACAATTTTTTTTAAATTATTGTATGGAAGTTTCACTATAAGTTGTTTAAATATTTAAAATAAAAGCTAATATAATTATTCTGAGTATTCTGGGGCTTAGATGTACATTCTATAATTTACATTTTGTGCTGATGTGGAATCACTCGATTAAAAATCTAAAACAAAAATTAATAAAAATTAATTGTGAATAATAATATTTTAAGTTGAATACTTAATTAGTGTTAAATAATAATAGTTTGAAAGCTATATTTAGTAGATAAATAAAATAGTAATATATACAAGCATTTATGTTCACAAAATATTTTATGTAAAAATTCAATTGATATATTGTAGGTGGGAATCTAGATATTATTTTTATCATAGTATATTCACTAGTACTAAGTAAAAAAGTATAACAGTATAATAATAGGTGTGAAGAAAATATTTTGTAACTTATTTTTAACCAAGTCAATAGTTTTTAATATTTATCACATTGAACGTTTTATAATATATTTGTTAATGATTTATACATTAAACAATGAACAAATTAAATTCAAAAACATTTACAGATGTATCTTAGAAAAAAAAAAAAAGTAAAAGTATGAAATGTTTTAAAATTATTGTCTTAAAATGTTTGTTTCCAATGTTAAATTTTAAAGAAAAATAAAGCTATACCTAGTGCTTTATTTTCTTTTTACCAAAAAAGTAATTAATAAAGAGTTAAGTTTCTAAATAAAATATATTTAGGTACCCCAAGTAATTTAAATAAAATTTGTATTCTATATTTAAATAAGGAGATTCTTACTTTTAATTACTTACTTAGACCGTCTAAGCGTAATCTTCTTTGTATTAATGATTACCAACCACTCCATAGTCGTTATCATCAGAATTATTGAAAATCCAACTAAAGCCATCATCCGTGCAACGATCTGTACGTTCATTAAGTGTGGTTCTTCGGCGTGGTACCCCGCCACGAAGGGTATCAATACTATGATATATATTAATGTAATTTGTTGCACCATAACCAAACAAGTTTTCAATAATCTAACCAAAACGTCCAGAACATCTTCCTCTGGTTCCAATAATGGTTGACTCTGTATGACATACATTGTGTAAAATTTGCTGATGGCTAAATAACATATTATAACGAATGCAAATCAATCATACATTATATTATAATTTAAGGGGATTTGATCCCTTCTGTGTTTTTTACCAAACTAGACCTATCGTACACCAATTGTACTGACTATCCTAGTCATCGAATATAACTTCTTAAAACATTTTTGAATTCATCATAATATTTACTTACTTGAAAATGACTTATTGTAATTTTATTGGTCTGCTTAATATCTTTTCAAAATTGGATTTTTAATTTTAAATAATATAACATTAAAGTGAACAAATTATTTAAAAAATTAATAACACAATTTTCAAGTAAATTTCATGAAGAATTCTAATATGTTTTCAGAAATTATTAATCAGATAAAAAGATTAATTAATATGATGATATACAAACTAAATCTAATCTTCTTTCTAAAGCAATGCTCGAAATATAAGATTAATACCAATTCAAATATTAAATATGTCATAAGACTGGATGGCAAACCATCTTCGATCAGAATCGTTTTTCTAGTTTATGGTCACATCCTCGTCTCACATTTCCCCGTCCAATTTATTTTGTATTTATTTATGTTTAACATATTAAAATTAAAAACTAAAACTACAAGTGATTACTGTTATATTGAGCTGATGTAAAATATTATTTTTAGTTTTGCTTCTCTAAATTATGTACTACAATAATTAAATATTCTTTTTTTATCGCGATCATAGTAAGTAGTTACATTATTTTTATCCGTGTAGCTATTTCTCAATATTTTTTGCTTTTAGCTGGTAGTTATTGATTAATCGTCAACTAGTTAATTTTTATTTCGGTTAATCCTAGTTCTTTTTTTTAAAGGATATTAATTAATCGCTATATAATTGAAAGTGATGCGGCTAACAACGACGAAAAAACTTTATGCTAACCTTCAACTAAGTTGTTTTAGGTAATCATTCAAGTATCACATCATAGTACTAGACTAAATGTAGGTGACCAACGGATTCTTCGTCTTATTGGTCTACCGATCCACGTATCTTTATATACACTGCCTAAAGTGAAAAAACAGCCTCTAATTTTGATGTTTGTAAAAACATCAGTAAATAGATTTCTTATAGATGTATAACTGTAAAGCTAATCTACAATATGACAATATTATTTATTGTATACAACCTACAGAGTGACAACTAAATTAAAGTGAATTGAACGGAGATGCATTTATAAGCATACCATACATTGTTAAAAACCCATAGGAAATCGAGAGCTTTCATCAGCTGCATTACGCGTATGATGACATTATACAATTATCAATATAGGTATGGTTTTTTTTTAATAATTAAATTAATTTTAGAACTAAGAGTTAATAATTAATAGACACCTATATTAATTGAATAATTTTTAAATTTGGTACATTAATTTTATTATTTATGCAGCTTTATATAATTGAATAATAGATAAATAAAATCAAAGTATAACGTTTTAATTAAGAGCGATTTTAAAATAGTCCATGATATTGGTTTATAAGAATATACGATTTGCTTGCACCAATACTACCAATCTTATAATAACATGCATAGTGGACTTACCCAGATCAGCTAAATCCGCATATAATTTGATGTATTGGTCTAAACTGAATCTGTAATTCCAAATTCTTTTTTAAATATATTTAATTTTCATCCAATTCGAATTATTTTTTCTTTTCTTGGTTTTTCACACTT